TATATATATATAAATAAAAGAAGTATATAGATTTTTCACTTAACTTGCCTCACACACAAATACAGAAAACTGTAATTCTTTAACTTTACTGGCTTTAATTGTTTCCTACACAAATGAAACTTTTTATTATAAATCTGAATTGAATGCATATCCAAAATACCTTTCTATTAACTATCTTAGTAGTAAATGTATTCTATTCTACATGCCTCCATTACCTCAGTAATTTTCAGAAGGTAGAAAAGAAAATAGCACATTTGATTCACTGAAAACATTTTAACCAGCAACAGAAATTTTGCCTCTATCATAAAAAGTCAAAAAAATGTAGCTAGACGTTTCTGGCATTGAATTGATTAAGTACTGAAAAAAAATGGAAATAATGTTAATGACATTATTATGTAACTCTACAAAAGGAGCTTCACAAACATTTAAATTCAAAGCCTTTTTTAAGCACTTCAGCTGATATACTAATTACTTCAATTTAATCATATTCAGGGGCTTCCTAGGTGTCTCAGTGATAAAGAATCTGTCTGCCAATGCAGGAGACACATGACACTTGGTTTCAGTCCCTGGGTTGGGAAGATCCCCTGGAGGAGTAAATGGCCACACACTCCAGTATTCTTGCCTGAGAAACCCCATAAATGGAGAAGCCTGGTGGGCTACAGTCCATGGAGTCACAAAGAGCTGGACAGGACTTACGACTGAGCTAGTACATACCCACGTAACCATCGTCAGGAAAATTACCAGAATGTGCCATTGAATCTTTTACCATGGAAAGCAGAACTACTTATTTATCATCATGTTAGTTAAAATTGTTTGATCCAGTGCCTTTTTGTGAAGAGAGTACAGAATAGTAAAAACAGATTTCTCAGTGAGTCTAAGGATGGCCTGATGATAAATGAGGGTTCTATTTAAATCCAAACTGGATGTTGTAATCTTAGCTTGCTTTGGCTTAGCAGGTATATCTATATCCCCAAATTCTTTTTAAAATTATTTGTCATTCTTAGAATAAAATCAGTGTGTGAAGATATAATATAGAAGTAGATTTAAGAATTCTCTGTTCACTTTGTGTGTGTATGTGTATATGTGTGTATGTGTATGTGTGCTTGTTAAACCTCCCACTCACCCAGAATTCTTCCCTCTCCTTCTCTTTTTATTGCACTGTTTTGGGTTTAATTCATAGTATCCTTGTGGTACAAGTCAGTTTGCCAATACAACTTTATTTAGAATATTTCTTCTATTGCAGAGAAGAAGGTACCCAGTGTAACTTGAGAATTATCCATTTTACTCAATACGTTCTGAAACAAACTCATAGATCATAATAGAAAGAAACATTGAAAATCAAACAGAGTCAATCTACACCACTGATAATTATATATCAATAAAAGTAGATGATTTTTTAAAAAAAAATCAGCATTCTGTTTTCATTATTTGCAGACTAAGAGGCAATCTGAGAATAAGTGGGATTAATCAGAGCTGAGTCAACCTCATCTTTAGAAAAATGGGAAGATAACTCCTTTCAGAAATAAAATCTCTGAAGTTGTCAAAATATTTTATTTTTTACTACTAAGGAAACTTTGGGTTATACATTGACTGTCTTCACTTTCACATTAAAGTGTAAATATTCATAGGAAGTAGTGATATGTTAAATTGTTATCACACTTTCAGGAAGTGTGAAATCTCAAAAGACAGCTTTAGGGTGTTATAAGGCCTACATTCAAATCCTGATGATGTGACTTATAGACAAATAGATGTGAGCAGGTCATTCCTCCTAGGTGAGCCTCCATTTTCTCAACGTATGTATATATTAAGAGTACTTGGCTCATCAAATCTCTTGGTTCAAATGAGATGATACATGGTCATTTGATTTATGACTGTAAACAGGCATATTGGAAAATACTGTAAATAGGCAATAAGAAAGTATTGGATGACTTAGCATTAGAATTTTTTATAATTAAATTTATTTCTTTTTAATTGGAGGATAATTGCTTTACAATATTGTGTTGGCTTCTGCCAAACATCAACATCAATCCGCCATGGTTTCCATGCATATGTGTGTAGGAACTTCCACTGGATATTTCCTGAAACTTATTCTATGTTTTTTCATCAAAATGCTAATGCTATAGATGTAGAGTAGGTCTCAGGGAATATCCAGTGGAGATGCATACATACATATGCATGGACACCAGTGATTGGTTGAATTTCAGGGAAGCGTATAAAGGATAGTGATGAATGTGGGTGAGATGGAGAAGTACTGAAAATATTCTTTTCAGAATTCTAACTGTCCTTATTAAAGTACACAAGTTATGTCCACAAGATTTTCCCTCCTTTTTGATTAGAATTTCACTGGGACATTCTATGTATAGAGATTTAGAAGAGTTTTGTTTCTGTTAAATTATGGTACCTAAGACATATCGTCAGTAAGACTATTCTTGAATTTGCTTGTCTTACAGATGCCTCTGAAGGAATATTCTGGTAGATGGCTGCATGTGGTTCAAGAGACAGAGCCTACACTCCCACATTACATGGGAAACAGGTAAATGTCCTTCTTTTATTACTGTCATACTCTAAACAACAAAATTAAATATTTTTTAATTATAGAAGATATATTCAGATATATTGTACATGACCTGGAAGGTGACTGAGACATTCTGTTCTCTGGTCTGGGTAAGCCTGAGATTTCCCTCCCCTTATGAACAAATTTATTCACTGACTCCACACCTAAACAACCATGTGAGGCTGGTTCATGTGGAACATGACCTGGACCTGGTTGGATCTCCTTGATCCACACTGTTATGAAGTTATTGCATATTCCATAAGCAAATCCAAATGATGCATTAGTTATTTTCTTATTCATGCAGTCAGTAAATATTTGAGTGTTCACATGCCACACACTATTCTTCGAAAAGGAGACAAAGAAGTGTGTTGCAAAAAGAGAAAGTCATGACTCTCATAGAGCCTACATTTGAATTTTCCTTTATCTCTTCATGAATATATACAGAATGTCCGAACATGGTGCTTTCCAAGACCACAGCCTCTGATGAAGGTGTAGCCTCAGGAGCAATGTCTTATAGTACGTATCTTCCTCTAAGATCTGGTGGGAACTTGATCCAGTGGAAACGAATCCACATTCTGGCCAATGACCTGTCCTGTGGAGATGTATTGAGCCTGATTTTTAATTTTTAAGAATATGAATTGAAGAACTTCCCTGGTGGTTCAGCTGTTAAGACTCCATGCTTCCACTACAGGGGGTGAAGATTTGATCCCTGATCAGGGAACTAAGACCCCGAATGCCACATGGCCAAAAAAACACCTCCCCAAAAAAGAAAAAAAAATCAACAAAAAGCCTCTGCCTGCAGTGAAAAATTTACATGACCCTGTAAATGTACCCCAATTCAGTGAATTGTACAAGTAAAGCAAGTGAACTGTATAGTAGGTAAATTATAACTCAATAAAAATTTCTTAAAAAGAATATGAATTAAATGTACAGAGACAATACAGAGAACACAAGAAGACTGAAAGGAATGAAGTAAAGACAGGTTATAAGACAGCAGAGGTCATATTAGGAGAAAGTAGAAAAGGCAGAAAAGAACAAACCATGATACTAAGAGTAGAAGTTGGGGAAACCAGCTGATGGAGACATGCTCCCGAGATCCCTCGAACCGTCTGGATTCTAGAGCTAGGCCGCATTTGATCAAACCTTAATCATTTCATCTACTTCTTGACCATCCTGTGATCTCTACTTTTCCCAAGAAGTATTCCTGAGAAGCCATGTATATGTACTTTTGTAATAAACTCTCAGTACTGGAACCATCTTGAAGTGAATTTCTTCATCTTGCAACAAATTAAGCAGCCTAAATTAACCAGAGGGCCTATCTGCTAACAACACATATGATTCCTTCCTTCCATTTCCACTATGTACCCACTCACATTTTATTCACTTGTTAAGATGTACATTTATGCTGATTCATAGGGAGAACAAAGTCCTAGGAAAAAACTCTCTAGCAAATGAACAATGCTTCCTTGATAACACCAAAGCTATTTTTTAAAAAAATTTATTGGGGTATAGTTTCTTTACAATATTGTGTTTTTTCTGCTGTACAGTTAAGTGAATCAACTATACATGTACAAACATCCCTTCCCTCTGGACCTCCATTCCCCCAGCTCATCCCACCCATCTAGGTCACCACAGAGCACCAAATTGAGTTCCCTGTTCTATAAAGAAGAGAGAGGAAAGTAAATATTGTGCATTAACACATACATGTGGAATCTAGAAAAACAGTAAAGATGAATCTACTTGCAGGGCAGCAAGAGAGATGCAGATATAGGACACATTGGGGCAGTGGGGGGAATGAATTGGGAGATTGGGATTGATTGACATATATACACTACCATGTGTTAAACAGATAGCTAGTGGGACCTGCTCTATAGCATAGAAAGCAATTTTGATGACAATTTATTTCAATTGGCCTATTCAAGAGGCTATCAAAACTGTTTTATAAACAAGTTTCCTTTATACGAGGTGTTCCTGGGTAGCTCAGCTGGTAAGGAATTGGGCTGCAAAGCAGAAGACCCCAGTTTGATTGCTGGGTTGGCAAGTTCCCCTGGAGAAGGAATAGGCTACCCACTCCAGCATTCTTGGGCTTCCCTGATGGTTCAGAAAGTAAAGAATCTGTCTGCAATACAGGAGACCTGGGTTCGATCGCTGGGTTGGGAAGATTCCCCTGGAGGAGGGCATGGCAGCCCACTCTAGTATTCTCACCTGGAGAATCCCCAGGGACAGAGGAGCCTGGTGTGTTACAGTCCAAGGGGTCGCACAGAGTCCGACACGACTGAAGTGACTTAGCATCAACAGCAGTGCTGTGCTTAGTCGCTCAGTTGTATCCAACTCTGTCTAACCCCGTAGATGGTAGCCCACCAGGCTCCTCTGTCCCTGGGATTCTCCAGGCAAGAATACTGGGGTGGGTTGCCATTTCCTTCTCCTTGCTGTATTCTACTCACTGCTATTTCTGAAGCAGGTCTCTCAGGGAGTCTTCTCTGACCTTATCCAATTGATCTGATTTATTAAATTTCTCTTCTGCAAAGACCAGCTCCATCTCACTCATGTCATTGTTGAGAACGAAACAAACTTTAGATTTGTAGAACTCTGGGTCATCTGTTTCAAAGCACTTGCAACGCATACATAGTACTATGATTTGGGCCAAGAAAGAATGAGTGAAGCGAGCTTGGACCAACTGCTTGCAGGCTTCGTCTAGAGAGGACTCATAGAGACACTTGCCCACCAGATGCCCTGCAGACTCATACATCTTCAGGAGCAGATGAGCAGGGCGATTAGCGTTGGGGTGCATTAGTGCTTGGTTGGTGTCACTGAATCGGGTGAAGAGCTGATTGGTGGTGTCAAACAGTGCTTTGCAGATTAACTCAAACCATTCCCGAAGAGGCCCTTCCCAGTCCAGAGCTTCTTCATCCTGAAAAACCACTTCAAAGTTCTTGCTCCAATCTGAGATGGAGAAATTCCAAGTGGCTTTCAGAGACGATTCCAAAAAGGCATCTCTGTTGACCTTCAGGGTGACTTCAGAATGTGGCCTTTTCATATGTACCTGCCGAAGCTCTCGATGGAAAAAGTTCACCGTGTCCTGAAAGGTCTCGGATCCTCCTATGTTCTCATGGAGGGAGCAGACGAATGTGGCCGCTAAGATGTTCCTCTCCCTACAGATGAGCTCCACACGGGCTGAATGCCGCCATCCACCACAAGGGTGAGCAGCTTATGGACAGGGTCTGGGCCAAGCTTTGAAAATTTGGTTCTGGGGCACACCCAGGAGATGTAAAGCCGCCAAGGAATGATTTTCTGGTAGAACTCCTTCTCTGAGAATTGTTTTGGTGACAGATAGCAGTATACCTTCTTCGGTTTCTTCACCTTCTCAGGGGTGTGACACTCAGACGGTGAGTCTTCATCTTCCTCCTCCAGAGCCGAGGAGGGCCGGCGCTGGGCAGAGCCCGTGTGCATGGGTGGGAGGTGCCACGGCGTGCTGGTGAAGTTGGCAGTGTTATACAGATAAGCTTCAAAGTAAACGCTCACTCCTAAAGTGGACACGTTGTGTTCAATGATATTCCTCTCATTCTCGCTTAGGACAATGATGTCAAGTTCACCATTGTTGATTGGCTGGTTTTGGTATGAGATGCAGGCAGGGAAGCAGCCCCGAGAATGTAGGGTTAGCTGCAGGAACACCTGGAAGGTCTGCTGGATGGATGTCACCAACTTCTCAAATGAGACACCGGTACCTTTTCTTCTGGAGGACCAAGCTCATGAAGGACAGGCTGTAGTTGTGCTCATCTCTCAAGGACATGCAAGCACAGTATCCTTTATATGACACTAAGAACAGAATTAAGGAAAGCTATGACCAACCTAGACAACATATTAAAAAGCAGAGACATTACTTTACCAACAAAGGTCCGTCTAGTCAAGGTTATGGTTTTTCCGGTGGTCATGTATGGATGTGAGAGTTGGACTGTGAAGAGCGCCAAAAAATTGATGCTTTTGAACTATGGTGTTGGAGAAGACTCTTGAGAGTCCCTTGGACTACAAGGAGATCCAACCAGTCCATCCTGAAGGAGATCAGTCCTGGGTGTTCATTGGAAGGATTGAGGCTGAATCTGAAACTCCAATACTTTGGCCACCTCATGTGAAGAGTTGACTCCTTGGAAAAGACCCTGATGCTGGGGGGGATTGCGGGCAGGAGGAGAAGGGGACAACAGAGGATGAGATGGCTGGGTGGCATCACCAACTCGATAGACATGAGTTTGAGTAAACTCTGGGAGTTGGTGAGGTACAGGAAGGCCTGGTGTGCTGCAATTCATGGGGTTGCAAAGAGTCGGACATGACTGAGTGACTGAACTGAACTGAAAAACAGAATGATAAAACATCTTAAATCTATGAAAGCTAGGAGAAATATTGAAAATGCCATGATAGTTCAAGACTTTGGGTTCTTTTCAACTTGTTCCACAATAGTACAATGTAGCAGAAATAGAGGTGGAGAAGTCAGAAGCTGTTTAGAGATTCCAGATTTTCCCTGGTTGGCACCAAATAAATAGAGACACACACACAGCAAATCCAAAAAAGATGTAAACTTTTATGTAAGTCTACATAAAGCAAAAAGCTTGAAATATACCAACACAGTAAAGACCATTACTCATAAAAGCATAGAATAAAAACAGCATGGGACTCACAAACAAACACACGTGTGCACATACACACTCAAGAGTTTCTAAAATTTGAGTGATGCAGGCCAGACCAGAAGACTGAGAGGTCATGTTCCTAGCCTCAGTCTGGTTAGAGAGAAAATTAAAAATAACAATCTGGCTTCCACACTATTACTTGTTGATACACTCTGCTCTGCCCTGATAACTGTATATATTTTGTTCTCATGCCATACTGTAGCTTCAGCCATTCTCAAAGAAAATTTTTAATCTTCACAGAAATTTGAAAATCACTTGAGGAATATTTACAGAAACCTGGGCAGGGTGCCCCTCTATTTTGCTGCTGCTGCTGCTGCTAAGTCACTCCAGTCGTGTCCGACTCTATGTGATGCCATAGACGGCAGCCCACCAGGCTCCCCCGCCCCTGGGATTCTCCAGGCAAGAACACTGGAGTGGGTTGCCATTTCCTTCTCCAATGCATGAAAGTGAAAAGTGAAGGTGAAGTCGCTCAGTCACATCCGACCCTTAGTAACCCCATGGACTGCAGCCCACCAGGCTCCTCCATCCGTGGGATTTTCCAGGCAAAAGTGCTGGAAGTGGGTCGCCATTGCCTTCTCCCTTTATTTTGCTACATTTATTTAATATCCAGAATGAATTGAGGAGGTAAATAGCTGTCACAGTTGATGCAATTTCAATCTAGGTATACTGTGCATTATATAAGCACATATTTGAACTTTCACTCTGAATGTTTTAAAAAAAATCAGTCAGGGTAAAAAATAGCACTGCATCAACACCTGATAAAAATGTGAAAGTAGGAGAGCAGATGTGATGCCTTTTTATGTACTGTGACTTAACATAAACAATATACATAATAGAATAAGCCCAGACCCTTTAGACACCAACATGACGATTATTTCTCTCGTTTCTTCATCTATTTCTATCAGGCCTATCTCCAAAAATGTGATAACATCCACGTCTGTTGGAACCATTTTATTCTCTCTCTCTCTGCAGTCAACTAAATGACAAGAAGGGTTTCCCTGGTGGCTCAGATGGTAAAGAATCTGCCTGAAATACAGGAGACCCAGGTTCGATCCCTGGATTGGGAAGATTCCTTGGAGAAGGGAATAGCAACCCACTCCAGTATTCTTGCCTCAAAAATTCCATGGACAGAGGAGCCTGGTAGGATACAGTCAATGGGGTCACAGAGTTGGACATGACTGAGCAACTAACACTTTCATTTTCAAAGGACACAAAAACCATAAATGAAGCTTGATAAAGATTCTTTTTAAGTGGTTCTATACATACTGTCAAAAAATAGACCTTAATTTTTTCCCCAAAATAATTAATAAAAATATGACAACCAATAATCCTGAGCAACATAAAGGTTCCAAACTATTTAGTGTCTGTCAAATGTCATGAGGACTTTTATGTAATGTAGTCTGCAAATAAAAATATAAAGTCATTTTAGTTATTCTATTATGTCCTTCTCCGTTTATATGATAAAAAGTCAGGTCTAATTCTTTCTAACAGTAAATAGAATTTTGTTTGTGCATTGGAGTCTTTCAATGTCATTTCTTATTCTCAAAGACTGAAATTAATTCCCTTTATGATTTTCATTTTAGACCCCTTACATTCAATCTAACGAGATGGTTGGATGGCATCACCAACTCAATGGACATGAGTTTGAGCAAACTCCAGGAGATGGTGAAGGACAGGGAAGCCTGGCTTGCTGCAGTCCATGGGGTCACATACAATTGAACACAACTGAGTGACTAAACAACAACAATTCAATCTAAAACTTACATGAGTGTAAGGAAAACAATTTCCCTTTGGCAAAGGGATTGTGTAAATGCAGAAAAAATTGGGCAACTTGTACATAAGAATAGTTATTGTATGCATATACTAATGACATTTTTTTCAAGTTCTTGGATGCTAAATTTTTCAGTTTATGTTCTGCACAAAATGCCTTAAGAACGAATTTTTAGAATTCTTTAATTTTTATTTAGAGTGATGAACTCTATTACTCCTAATGTCCATCTAACCAGTAAATGAAAAGACAGTAGGACATCGTGTTTAGGGAAGGTAATCCAATGGCCAGATTTTCTAGGTTAGAATCTCAGCTCTACCACTTACTTGTAGGCTGACAACTTGGGCAAGTTATACAACATTTTTCAGATTTCTATTTTCTCACATTAAAATAAAGATAGTAATAATAATAATCACTTTATGTATCCCTGTGAGGATGAAATGAGTGAAAAATACATAAAATGCTTAGCATACTGCCTGTTGCCTGGAAGATGCTAAACAACACACAATAAGACTGTCATTATTGCTGTAATTGCTGCCATTGTCATCATTATCAAGCATTACATAGTCTGATACATTTTCTTGGAAAGGTAAAATCAGTATGTTTAAATCATATGACCATTTCATTTGATATTAAACTTAGTCATCCTAAACCCATCAGTTACACTATTATTTACCCAAGAGAAAAGAAAACATATGCCCATACAAAGACTGTATGTGAATACTGATATCACTTTCATTTATAACCACCTCAGTCATGGAAAAAAACAATAATCTGTTAAGTCATGACTAGATGAGAAAGTTGTGGCAGACCCACACAATGGAATACACATCAAAAATTTAAAAAAAGGATAACCACTGCTGCAAGTAACACCATGAATGAATCTCAAAAGCATTACACTAAATGAAAGAATCCAGGAAGAAAGAGCTACTCATTATAAAATTTGATTTTATTGATGTTCTAGAAAAGGTCAAAATATAGGGACAGAAATCTATCTGATTTAAGTTTACCAGTGAGATTGACTACAAAAGTACAAAAGAAAGCTTTTGTGGTAATGGAACTATTCTGTCTTCATTCTGGTGATCATCACATTACTTTATTTTTTAAAACTCATGGAAATATATGACTATAAGGAGTGACCTTTAGTGTATATAAATTCTACTTCAATAACCTGACATTGAGAAAACTAAGATCATGGCACCGGTCCCATCACTTCATGGCAAATAGATGGGGAAAGAGTGGAAACAGTTGCAGTGGCTGACTTTATTTTTCTGGGCTCCAAAACCACTGCAGATGGTGATTGCAGCCATGAAATTAAAAGACGTTTGCTCCTTGGAAGGAAAGTTATTACCAATCTAGACAGCATATCAAAGAGCAGAGACATTACTTTGCCAACAAAGGTTCATCTAGTCAAGGCTATGGTTTTTCCAGTAGTCATGTATGGATGTGAGAGTTGGACTATAAAGAAAGCTGAGTGATGAAGAATTGATGCTTTTGAACTGTGGTGTTGGAGAAGGTTCTTGAGAGTCCCTTGGCGTGCAAGGAGATCCAACCAGTCCATCGTAAAGGAGATCAGTCCTGGGTGTTCAT